AGATTTAAAATATTTGCGCACCTACGTTCGATGGATAATCTTGGTTAATGCTGAAGCTTAATAACGAAATAGTTGAATTGTTATGAGATGATGAGGCTGAAGAAAACACTCTTTTATGATATAGGTCAACAACAAGGATCAAAACCTTAAACCCAGATTGGAACGAACGATGGTTTGTTAAAAATATTCCCTATTCAGCCATGTTAACTGTTATTGTCTACGATAAAGATGATGATAAATTAGATGATTATATTGGGAAATTTACAATAGAAAATATTATACATGAAGATGGTCAGATCAAATCTATACCAATTATAGGTCTACTATGTATACCATGTGGAAAATTTAATTTACGTATAACTTCTACAAGTTGTACAACGGAAACAAATCAATTACATCGTTATACATTTGATGGACCTATACGTTATTCACGTCATGATTCATATACAGTTGGACGTTTAACTGAATTGAGTCATAAAACATCTAGAGATCGTGCTGATCAATATTATTCAACATTTAAGATACAATTAAGACGTATATCTTCATATTTACCGATAGAAAAGCGTCAAAAATGGAATATTAAGTATAAAGCAGCACAAACTATATTTCAAGGTCCATTGTCATCATGCGTGCAATCAAGTATTAAAATAGCACATCAAATGTTATATGCTAAAACAACAACAACAGAATATGGTCTCTTGTCCAATGGTGATGGACATGAAGTATGGCGCTTATTTATGGATCGGCATGCAAATAATCGTATTAAACCATGTATTTACACATATGTTATTGATGATTATATATGGCGTTTTAGTGAAACTGGGGTGGAATTTTTTATTGATATTGCAAGTAAACATGCTCTACATGCAAATGCAGCTGAAACTGTGCGATATGCGGGTGAAATGCATCCCCGTCCACGAGATGGTTGGCAAGAATATCGGGATAATGTAGATTCAGAATTTGAAGGAAGAGAATGGGAATTAGTTATTGATAATAATTCGGGTACATACGCACCTGATCCACTGTTATTAGATAATTTAAAAGCATTATTAAAATTTAATTTTCCATCGTTAAGTGTTATTGTTTACGATTATAAAGATCCAGAATTGAAAATGAGTGTTGAAGAATGTAAAACATATGCTAAAACAAATTATAAAGATTTTCCTGC